CCCCGGCTCCCAAGAGGTCCCACCCCAGTCTCTAGGCCAGGGTCTCTCCCCTCGGCAATGCTGACTTTTAGGGCGGGCCCCTGGGTAGTGTGGGGTGTTGAGAAGCATCCCTGGGGGACATACAGGCAGCCCGCATACCTGGGGGGGCAGAAACCCTGAGGAGAGAACACTGAGCCCCGCGGCCCCGTCTGACACCTGGGTGTCGCTAGGCTGAGTTTACCTTTCATGAAATGCTGACATGGGCTGTAAGACCCAATAGTAGTTTCATAAACAACAGTTTCTTTCTTGCAAACTATACCCACAGGTCCCATCCTTGCTTGCAAGTGCCACAGCAGCCAGTCAGATGGCGACCGTGAGAGAAACTTTGTCTTCAGTATTTACTGTTAGGCGGGAATGTCACGCCGACTCCTTAGGGGCCATTCAGCTCTCCCGTGGGAAATATGTGACCTCATTTGCATTTTCTAATTGAATCGCTATCAGCTTTCCTGCAAGACTGCGCAAAAAGAAAAAGTTCTCCCAGATTCCAGCGCTGCTTGTTTCCCTCACAGAAACCCGCCCGGAAACGGTTGCTAGGAGACGGAGGCGGGAGAAAAGCTGCCAAACTTTTATGGTCCATGTAGCTGTGAAGCTGTCGGTTTTGCCCGACTCCACAGAGAGCTCCTGAAATGGCCTCACGGGACGAGAAATGAGACCCAGAGAGCTGGGACGTTGGGGTCTCAACCGACGTCCCGGAGGGGTTGGCTTCACGGTGCCCTTTGTGAAGGCTTCTCGGGACTTTTAACAATGCCGACTGCTCCTTTGAAGGAGGCCGAGTTTCTAGAACCTTCTGCCAAAACACTCCTGCTCATTATCTCCAACCGAAGTGCCCGCCTTCTCTAATCCCAGCCAGGACGCCCTCTGCGGTCAGTCCCCCAAGGTCAGTCCCCCAAGGTCCCCGCCCCGCCCGTTTCGCTTCGTCCGCGCGGCCCTGCCGTGGACGCCACGTCTTACATGCGGCCGCCCGTCCGCCTCTCCCCGCGGTGTCCCGCCTGCGTCTGTCTCCCCCGGTCACTCACTGTCTGCACTTCCTGCGTGCGCGCCCTCGGTCGCTGTCACACACACCCTCGCCGCGCTTCCGCTCAGCTTTCCACTTGCTCGCAGGCCACCCAAAGGCAGGTGGCAGGTCGGATTTGGCCTGCGGGCTGTGGTTTGCTGACCTTTGTCACCGAGTGCCACCATGTGTCCTTGATGAGGTTCATCAGATTGTGCACCATTTCAAGGCGTGCAGTTCAGAGGTCCTCGCACGCGGGGTGCTTCCCCCCCAGGTACGCTTGGCAGTGACTGGGCAGCTCTGGTTTCACGTGGGGGTGGGGGTGGGGGTGCTGCTAGTGCTGGAGGCCAGAGGGGCTGTGGAGCACCCCACAGTGCAGGCCGGCCCCAAGCGCCAGGCCCCAAGCGCCAAGCGTGCGGGGTAGAGGAGCCGAGCAGGGCTCAGCGGGGCTCGCGGGCACGTCCTCACGTCCTCCTGGTGCTGTTCTAGGCGCCTCCGAGCCCTCTGCATTTCATTTAAAGATCTAAAGCTCCTCACCCTCCATCCACGAGCAAACGAAGAACAGGCTGGGACTTCGGCTGGGACTGTGTCGAGGTTACGGAAACCTGGGGTAGGACTGATGTCACCACATCGAGCCTTCCTGTCGCGAGCACGGCACGTCCCCCCATCTCTAAGGGATCCTTTGATCGTTTCCAATAATGTGGATGAGTCTCGAGCAACTTGTTAGACCTGTTCCTAGTCACCAGTCACTGTCCGCGCCATCGGGGTCGCTGTCTGGTTCAAATCTCATTTTCCGGCGCTTCGTCCCTGGTCTGCAGAGGTGCGATGGCTCTTACCTCCTTGTTATTGTCACTCGGCAGTTCTGGTTATTTACCGACAGATACTTCTAGAGCTTCTACAATCACAGCCACATAAGCTAGTGTCGGTTCTGCTGATTCTGTTTCTGCCGTCAAGGGGGGCTCCGAGCTCCCCAGCTGTCCATCGCTGCGGGTTCTCCGCAGACGCCTTCACGGGACCAGGGCTGGTCCTTTCTCATCCTAACCTGCTGAATAGTTTCATCCTGGGTGGAGCTTAAATTTTAATAATCACTATGCAGATGGTCCGTGGTTCTCACCCTTTATTCTGGGTTGAATTACGCGGATTAACTTTCACGTGTTAAATCCATCTTCTGTTCTTGAAACAGACAGATGTGGCCAGGATTTACCCTCTGTACTGAATGCACGTTTGTTGAGATTTCGGTTAGGTTTTCTTTGATCTGCTCGTGAGTGAGCTCGTCTGTGACGCTCGCTGTTCTTTCGGGGGTTTGGTGGGTTCCAGACACGGCTCCCCCTGGCTTTGCGCGACCTCCTCGGTGGTGTTGAGACAGCGTCTGTCTGGTTGGGAGAGCGATCCTCTCAGGACGTGTTTAGGTGAGGTTGGTTTTAACTCCTCTTTCTGGCTTGGGCGGAGCTGAGCAATGTGGCCATCATGGGGTGGGCATGTCTTTGTGACGAAGACTTTAATTTAAATTTCGTTTGGAATAATGATGCGGTTTCGATTTTTTCCTCTGAGTTTGGGTAAGCTGTGTATCTCTAGAATGTTCCCCCTTTCGTGTCTATTTTCAGATATATTGGTATAAATTGTACATAACGCCCTCGAATGACCTTTCCCGTACCTGTGAAGCGGCCGCGGGTCCCCGTTTCATTCCTGGCCGGGATTATTTGCAAATTCCCTTCTCCTCGCGGCCCGATTCGCTTGCTCGTTCACAGAGCCCCCGTCTGCATGTCGATTCTTTCTACGGTTTCTATTCCATTCTTTCCTCCTCTCGGTTTTACTGTTTCCTTCCTTCTGCCATGTGTTTCATTCCCTGTTCTTTTTATAATTCCTCGAGGTGAACGTTTAGCTCGCCGAGTCTCTGCCTGGCCCCAGACCGCGGCCCTGGCGGAAGCCCCGATGCCGGCCTCGGCTGTACCCGGGAAGGCATTTTTCACTCCTTTCTGGAGTGTGGGTTCCCCCGTGCGGCAGAGGGGCGACGGTCACATGGCTCGGCTTCCCCATCTGTGAAGTGGGGACAGTGTCAGCGCCCCCTTCTGGGGCTGTGAGGATGCGATGAGTTGATAGCGCGTAGAGTGGGGTCTCGGTGAGGTCCTCGGAAGTCAGGACAGGACGCTTGGGTTCGAGGCGAGAGGGCACGGGGGGCCGCCGGCAGCAAAGGAGAGGTGACCACAGTGAGGGATGGGTCTGGGGGCCGGCGGAGACTCTGCCTGCTGCCTCTTAGGGTCGCATTTCACTCACTCGGCTGCGCGGTCCCACGGTCACCCCATGACCTGGCTCGCCAGGTCTGTCTGAGCGTGGGGCATGGATTCCGTGTCCCCTGTTCTGCCATCAAGGCCGGCCCAAGCTGGGTTGGACGTGCACTTATGCTGGGACTCCTAACTGCGGTCAACGTCCATGAGCGATCGGAGGTCAATTATACCAGAAATCTCTCCATCAACTCAGGTGGCATCATGCATTCGACTGGCGCCTTTCATCCGAGGCCCCCGACAGGCCTCAGGAGCCCTTCCCTCCGCTCACGCTGCCTGCTTCCCGGTGCGGGGTGTGAGCTGTGTGCGGCTGCCCTTGCTCCCCGGCCCGCCACCTGGAGGGGGTCCCCACATGGGCCAGTGTCCCCAGGGCGGCTCCCGGGGCCGGCCTTGCTCACTGCCTTCTCGCGGCCATGGTTTCCGTCACCCACGAGGCGAGCTCGCGATCGGGGACACGCGGCTGTGAGAATTGTGTTCTCATGTCTGGGTCAAGTTGTCCTTCCCTGTGGGCTCAGCTCATCGCTGAAGGGACTGCTGGTCGCCCCGGGCACGGCCGTCTCGTTTCCAGCCTCGGCCACCTCCCCCTCGTTTAAAAACAAGACACGGACCCCTGTTTTCCCAAAGTGGGTTCCTTGGAACACTTGCTGTGCAAGAAGTTCCATGAAGGGGGTTCCTTGGCCAACAGGTTTGGAGAAACCTGCAGCCGCCTCCCGCCGGGGGCCGGTCCGTGTGAGGTTCTGGGCGAGTCTCTAGGACGGAGTCTGGCCACTCGCTTTACGCCTTCACGCCCATGGGCACATTCCGAGGGAGCGCCATGGGTGCCCCCAAGGTCACCGGGCACCGCTTCACCTGCTTGCTGTCCTCTGCTGACAAGCCACACATGCAGCGTCACAGAGATACTGGTGACCCGGGGGCCACATGGGAACTGAGCGGGGCCTCGGCACGCGCTCCGTGCCACCGGCCAGCTGGGCCGTCACCTCTCTGCTGGGCCACAGCCCCCACGCCGGAGGCCGGCCCAGCTGCCAAAACCGAGGCTGGCAGGAGGTGACCAGGACCTGGCCCCCCGGGACAAGTGAGACCTAACGCTCGGGACTTTGGGGGTGGCCGTGGGTTGCCGAGGGGTCCGGTCCTGGGTGGCTGGGACACATGGGACGAGAGAGGCCTTTCCGGACTGGGGGGAGTGAATTCACCCCCCATCCTGTCCTACGCAGGCAGGGCCTGTAGGCGAGTGAGCGGGAAGCAAAGTCACAGTGGGGCTGGTGACAGTGACTGGTTCACGTCTGTGTGAAGCCCACCCTCTGTCCCTCTGTCCTTCTTCCTCCCTGCCCCTCCCTTTGTGAATCAGTCCTATAGTAGCTGCTCTGGCCGCACAGCCAGCCACGTGGCCTCTGCCTTACTCCCCATCCCGCAGGCCTTGGGCGCCCCCGGGGCTGGTGGCCCCAGGCCTCAGGCACGAGCAGTGCCTGGCGTGGACAGGAACGAGGCCCCTTGGTTGGGGTTAAGGTGGCGACAGCAGCGCATTAATCCGAGTGCGGGACCCTGAGCACCTGCGGAGAGATGGGCAGGTGAGGGGGCCTCTCCGGCTGGCTCAGCCCACTGAGGGGCCGGCCTGTCATCGGAGCCTCCGCAGAGGCCCTGCCGCAGGTTACTGGGACTTCGCCGAGCCCGCCACGTGCCGACAGCCTTACCTCGTGTCCAGAGAGTGTGGACGAGGTCTGGGCCACCAACAGCCGCACCATGGTGTCCCATCGCTTGGCGGTCTGGCGGTCCCACGCGGTCACGGTGAAGGCCACCTCCTCGGAGGGGATCTGCAGCTCGCGGGTGGCAAAGACCGTCCCGTCTGCCCCGACTTTGAAGTCCGTGCTGTCGGTCTCATATTGCGTCCCCGTGGTCCCCAAGCAGCTGCTGAACGTGACTGCAAGAGGACAGGGGAACGGTCAGGGCCTGGTGGGCGGAGGGTGGCAGCCGGGCCACGGCCACTCTGCAGGCAGCAGGAGCCCGGCGACGGGGCTGCGCCTCGCCCTCCCTTACCGGCTCCTCTCTCCCCGGGGGGTTTGCCTTGGAGAAAGGGCCCGAGGAGAAGCAGCAACGCACCTCGTGCCCCCAGACGCTGCTGCCTGCGTTGGCGCCGAGGCTCCGCCCTTGTCACCCGCCGAGGCTCCGCCCTCGTCACCCCGGCCCCAGCGGGCGTCTGGTAGGGGCCGTGCAGGGTACTTTGTACCTGAAGCAGCTCCCACATCTGTCCCCCCTCGCTGGCCACACGCAAACCTCCGCCCCTGGCAGACTTCGAGGGCCTCACGGGGCCGTTTCTCCGGCCCACAGGGACCATGGGGAGGGGGTGCGGGGGGACGGGGCAGGACAGCGGCGGCGCTGAGCGAGCTCGAACCCGCTGCGTGCGTGGGTTCATCTTATCTATCAGCGCCACGAACCCGACGACACCGCGGGCCCCGTCAGGGCGGGCGGGGCCAGAGCTGGACGGGCGGGGACCCTGGGCAGCCCCCGGCGACTGGACGGGAGAGCGGGCAGTGTCCACCCACAGCGCCGAGCGGCCCCGCGCTGAGCTCCCCACACGCTCCTCGTGCCCCGAACCGCTGGCCCCACCGGTGACTCCGCAGGCCCAGCCGCTCGTAACTCGGCCGCGGAGAAAGGCGTCCCGGAGCCGCGTGTCCCCCTGGCCCACGTTAGCGCCTTTTTATACATGTGCCTCTGCAGCTGCCACCTGACACCGCGGCAAATTACGCAGCACCAACAGCCAGTGCCACATTCTGCTGACAAACACGATGGGTAAAGTCACCTCGTATTTATGAAAACGTGGGTCTCTCCGCGGTTATGGTGGGACGACTGGGTTCTCAAGTGATTTTACTGTCACCGCGTACACGATTCAATCACTGTTTATTGCAGGAACCGAAAAAAGCTCCCACTGTGACTTTCGAGAGCGTGTTCCCCTCTGTGTTCACCTCTTGCTGTCACCTGCCTCGAAATAATGAATGATTTGCATGTCCCCTCGTCCCCTATGCGTCACTCAGACGGCTCCCCAGTCACCGGCGCCTCCCACTTACGCATTTAATGTAAAAATGTTTTCAGTGGGGTAGAACCTGCCGTTCCCTCCCCGCCGGGCCCCAGGGCGCCCGTGGGTGGCCTTCGGGGCTGCACAAACCCTCAGAGGCTGACGGCCCCTGGGTGATGGTGGCTGTGGCTCCATGGACGTGTCCCCCCAGCGAGGGAATAATTACATTGTTTTTCAAGTGACGGGAAAATTCCAAATTGCTTTTGGAGTGCCCTTCACCCCGATGGTAAACACATGAATATCAGCCACGAACCGCCTGGATCAATCATTTCTGACACCTAATTGTCACCGACAGACATAAAAATGACAGTTCTCTGCTTGCTGGGAGATTAGCACGAAATGCATAAACGGGCCCCTTTGTTCCCTAAAAGCAAAGTTCCAGTAACGCCGAGCAACGGGACAGCACGGGGGTGTTCAGCACCGTATCGCATGACGGTGCCACCGCCTTGATAAGAAACAGGCCCGGGGCGTTGGTGGCTTCTGGGGCGGGGGTCAGTGCTGTTGTCGGGGCACACCACCAGCCTCGGCACAGCCTCACAGGGACTTGGAGCGCGGTCTGCTGGGTCCGGGGACTTTTCAGACAGTGGATGTCCTCGGGGCATGACGGACCCTCGAGGACACGGAGGGTGGTGCCACCCAAAACGGCTGCCGTGTGCGCCCCCCCTGGAACCATGCCTGCGGGGTAAAGGCGGGCTTCCCCACGTGGCGCAGTCACAGGTCTTCGTGGGGTTTTAAATGGTAGCATCTGTGTCTGACACGGGTCCGTCCAGTCATGGGAAACCATGGGGCCTTGTGACAACCTGGAATCCTAATATCCAGCGTGACCACGACTTAGCTGCCAGGTCACCATCCTGTCTGAGGTTCTGAGCCCCCGCCGGGGGGAAGCGGGGGTCACAACTTGTCTGCGGGAAGATGGGGGGCCATTCCAAGTGCCCGCAGGGCTGGGGGACCAGCTTTCCAGAAGGAGGGCATTCAGGACAGGGCTGTTCCTGAAAGCGACGATCGGTAAGGTGCGCGCTTCCCGGAGTCTGTGTCTCCATAAAATACTACGCTGGATAAACAGATGCTCCCATTCGAAACCCTGTGAAACGCGGGTTCACGTCGCACGGCACACAAACCACTCGGGATGACACCAACGCTTGGTCCTGAAAATGGTGACTGAGCGCTCGGAGGGCAGGCCCTTGGGGGAACTTCTGAGGCCCGAGGACAGAAAGGACCCGTCTCCCGGAAGGCGGTGCCTTTCCTGGTCCCGAAGGCCGTGTCACTCTTCGCTTTGGCTGCCGGGAGGCTCAGAGGCGGTGCTGTGGCCGGGAGCTGACCGCTGAGCCATTTACCAGTCTCGGCTCGTTCCATGCGCTGCTCCGCCTCTGCTTCCTCCTCCGCTCCCTGTCTTCCCCGTTCACACGCATTGTTGGCGTCTGCTCTATCTCTGCTGGGGACAACGTGTTCCAGGAGGACAGAGGCCGAGGCGGGTGGTGGCACACACCGGTTGCTCTGTCCACAGAGATGACGCCTGGCACGGGGTCTGGCCGCCCTCCCCAGGCGAAGGCGGAGCGGACATGCCAGGGTTTTCCGTTAGCAGGACGCACCGCTGTCCTGCCCCCTCTGCCTCAGCAAAGGGCAAAGGGACCGTTTCCTGAGCGTGGCGGGGTCTCCAGGAGCCAGCGTGAGCTGCTGGGGGGGTGCATTTGCCCCAGCTAAATGCGCCATGTCCCCACGGGGAAGAGCCACCGAAGATCACTGCCACCAGCATCCCAGGCGCAGAAGGCAAGCAACCTAACAGTGCCACGTCACCTGGTACGCTTCTCACTGTCCTTGTTTCTGGCCTTCTGATTTCTTCGTCTTTAAGAGGAAGTTAAAGTCCTGTGGGGCTGATCAGGGATGAGACGGAGCTGCCAGACCCGCTCGATCAGACCGCGTTCCCGTCGGGGCGTCGGGGAAGGGCTCGTCTCCCGTGCCCGGCACCGAGCGAGGCGCGGCCAGCTCGGGCTCCCGCGGGAGGCCGTTGGCGGGGGGCCCCGGGACACCATGCAGATGGGGAAACTGAGGCTCACAGGCCTCTCACACCTTGGCAGCGGCAGGAGGAGGAGGTAGGGATGGAACCCTGGCCTGTGGGGCGTCCCACACGGCAGCCACGCCGGCTGGTTCTCCGCGAGCTGGCAGGGGGACCCCAGGTGTCCAGCAGGTGCCCATCTAGGCCCCCGGGGGGCTCTCTGCTGTTCTGAGGGACCCGACTCCTGGGGCTGCGGCACTCCCAGGCCCTCACGCGATGGCAGGGAGGTGGCCTGTGGCACGGTCCCTCGGGGACCGGATGCCAGCGCTGACTGTGAGGAGCAAGTCGCTCCATGGGGGTCGAGTCGCCTGTGAGGTCACGCGTACGCCGAGGGCCAGCCCTCCTGTGGGCTCCGCGGAAGGCGACAGCACTTTTCCCCCTGTGGGCCGGACCTGGGAGCCCCCGATGCGGAGCCCCCCGACTTGGGAGGCCCCCGGCGCTCCGGCCCACTGCCCGAGGTGCTGCGCAGCCTCTCCGCGGTCTGCTAGTTACTTCCATTGGTTTTAAACAAACTTGACAAGAGACAGAAGGAATCCTGAGAGAAATTAAATCCCGGTGTTTAAACTCGCAAAGTCGCAGCCACCGCGGTCTCTGTCCCCTTGGTGCTGGTGGCGGCCGTGGCGCCCGTGCAGCCAGCGTTGGC